CAGACTCCATGCCGATGAATCTTGGCCCAGATTCTGTTTGTCTGTCACTTCTTAGTTTTGAGGCCTTAGACAAATCATTTAAATTCTCTGGGCCACAAGGTTTTTCATCTATAAAATGAAGAAATTAGTAGAACCTACCTTTTAGGAGTACTGTAAGGAGTAAATGAAATAATACACATAACACACTTTAATACTACCTGTAAAAAAGTAGGCTTAGTAAATTTTTTTAAAAATGTGAATCAGTGTCTTCTAGCCTGCTAGGCACATAATGATTATACTTTAGATTAATTTTTGAATCTTCTAGGCTCTATATGCCTGCCTGATAAGAGGCTAAAACTCTTAGCTTGTCCTGTATTAGAGTAAATTATATTCCTAGGAAAGCCTTTTAATTCTTCTAGACCAGAGTCTACTTATCTGAGCCTTATGGTGTTTGAAGTTCAGAAATAATTTAGGATCTTGACTTGACCTACACCAATCACTTTGTAATAAGCTTGCTAGCATGTTCATAATTCATTGGTTTCTAGCTAGTGCCATTGGTCAAAATGTCAGATTCATTGTCAATATGGGGATTCAACAAAGTATCCCATTGTTGGTCGCAAAGGCACTTAGTTTTGGTGACATGCTGTACAGAATCCAGTGAAACTGATTTTGAATGGTGTCAGATTCAAGGATTGGCTTTTTGAAAAAACAGTGTTAGATTTGGGGGAGGGGGTAGTAAAATATTTTTTCAGTAATATTGGTGATTTGCCAGACAAATCAGTGATTTGAAATTTTGGACCATTGTGTTTTATAAGTCTGGGAATAAAAATGGTATTCTAGCATTTTTTCATGGGTAAAGAAAGAACTTGGATGGTAAACGGAGATAGTGAATATTAGGAATCATGTCAGTCACCTTCATGTAAGTGAAGCATGTTTTAGGTATTTAGCTGTATTTGCGCATATGAGCTTAGATATTGAAGGTTACATCCTGAGCAGCAAGTATTTTGTGTTGCAGAAAATTAAGAATCAGAAATGTTTTTTAATATGTCACAGGATTATCTGAGTAGCTGTCTGACTTAAAATTTTTTTTTCTAATTTATAGGAATTTTTTATTATTAATTCACTATTCTCTGAGATAGCTTTACAGATGTGGTACCTTAGAAAAACTTTATTTTATTCTTTTGGTTACCTGAAGGGATATTTTCACAATTTGTTTGATTCCTTGTCAAAAGCAAATTCTTTGGGTTTGCATATTAAATCAGTCTAAATAAACAATGGTGAAATCATGTTTCTTTTATAAACCTGAAAACCTTGTCCTAGTCTTCTCAGTGCTGCCTTAATCGTATCAAACTTTAAATGATAATTACTCTCAGCTAGTAATTTCATTAGCAAGCAGACATAGATAAGGGAAGCATGAGTCCAAGGCCTTTCCTTTAACTGTTCAAATTTGAAGATTTTATCGCTTGCAAGAATGATTACTTTGGCGGAAATATATTCTTTTCATCATAGTAATGTGACTGTTTTTAAAAACCATTTTGGCTGTTAGGAAAATCTGGAGAAGACGGGACCTCGTGTTCTGGATTTGCAATTAGAATTTGATGAGCAGGCAGTGCTCGTGGAGAATATAGTCTATCTGACCAATTCCCTTGAGGTAAGAGGGGCCGGGGATTATAGTAACTAGTTAACTATAGTAAACACAATCCATATCTTTTGTTTTGTAATAAACCTTTTTATAAACTTTATCTTCTATGTTTACTACCTTTGCAAATATGTTTTGGAGGAGGAAAGAAAATGGTGGGTATAGAAGTTACAGTGAGAAGAAACAATCTGTTATCTTATTTCACTTACCAGTTATTCAACACAAAATATACTAACTGTATATATGTGGATTTTCCTCTCAAAATTATCTTTTAAAAAATGAGGAGAGACCTTATGTTCAAATACTTTCAAAATCTTTCATATTATGGGGCACTCTGAATTACTTCTTTTTCCTCCCCTGCCTCTAAGACCTCAGATTCACAGAACTGGATTAATTAGAATCCTTGATTCATGACATGCTATCATTGGTCCATGGTTGGCCCTGTTTTTTCTTCTTAATTAGTAATATAATGAACATCCATGAATCTGCTGCCCAATTCAGAAACTAGAACATTACCAATAGCTTTCACCTATCTGTGAGTTTCTCCCCATTCTACCTTCCTGCCCCGGGGACAATTTCATATATAGATTCTAAAAATGCTGTCTCTTATTCAACTTAGGCAGAAGGAAAGGTAATCCTCTAGAAAACTGTGTTAGAGGATTCAAAAAATGGTTATAGTAATAATGAAGACACTGAAGTAAAAAAGTGCAGGTTTAGAGTTTGAGTAAAATTGTTTTCTAAAATATGGGAATGGAAGAAATGAGCATTTCTAAGTAAGCATTTTATGCCATGTAATTATAAATATGTTAATAAGTATTATATTTATAGTTAAAATATAGAAGTATTATAAATCTATTTTATGTATATTTCTAAATGTTCGTATGTATTCATGAAGGTCAAAAAAATTCTTAGATATTGTCACTGAGACAATGGGAACACTTTATTTGGGTCATCTTATATTCAGACATACGCATTTTGCTACATTTCTGAGTTTTTCTGTTTGTTTAAGTAGAAGCCTTTTATACTAATTTTTGTTTTCTCTTATGCAGCAGTTAGATGCCAGATTTCCTTACAGAAAATAATAAATATGACTATATAAATAACATACTGTGAGACATCTAAGATGAGTGTTAAATAATTGATTACTGATTTCATTTAATGTTTGTATGGAAAGTACTAAAATTGCACAGACCATTTCATGTTAAGTGGAGAACCTAGTTTTGCTCTTTGGTGAAATGAAGTGACGATTAATTTCAATTGTATTAAGTAATACTAAGGACTTACATCTTTTCCTCTCTATTTAGCTAGAACATATAGAAGTCAAGTTTGCCTCTGAAGCAGAAGATAAAGTCAGGGAAGACTGCTGTCCTGGAAAACCACTTAATGTTTTTAGAACAGAAGTAAGTTGAAAGAATCTCACTGAATTATTGTGTTTTAGAGCTAGAAGAGACCTTAGAAATCTTTACATCTAAACATATTATTTTAAAGATAGAAGAAAGAGAAGTTAAGTGATTGGTTTGGCTTAGGCCACATAGTTGGTTGAAAGTGGGGCTGTACTTGAGATCCTCTAATTCCCTGATTGGTGCAATCCGTACTTTTCCTTATTCTACTATTATGGATGGTATCAGATGTTATTCTTAAATTTTATTTTTAAAACCTGACTTAAAAAAAAAAAGGGAGTGGAAATTGATGGGAGACTTTTTTAAACAGTGAAAAGGAGCTTTCATACTTGAGATGAGTTTTGTTTGGATAATACTATTCAAGACTTTTGGCTTCTGGCCTAAACCAGATTGATGCACCATGTTACATTATGCTGGAAATGCTTTTTTAAAATTTCTTATATTTTAGCCGTTATTGGTGAAGATAAATAGGTTTTGGAATTTAGCTAGAGTCTGTTTACTCTCAAAGAATCTATTTGGAATGGCAGTGTTTGGCACAGTCCTGTGGAGTGCAATTGTGAGTCCATAAAATGTCCTACTTTTCTTGATAAGCAGAGGACTTACATATACCCTGCTGTTCCTCCACATTTAATTGAAAACCCAGCAAACAGAGAAAGGCCTATTTTGAAAGAACTAGGTAATCATGATCATGCAGTTATCCTAAATTTATCATCATATTATTAATACTCAGTACATTAAGATATGGTGGCTTTTAAAAGTATAGTCATTTGGGCCATGGAGATAGGTACATGAAATAGTGTTCCCTTTACAAATATGTTTATTTCAAGCTACTTTTACGCATTCTATTAAGCTACTGTGTATTTAAATTTCATAAGGCTCAATTGACTTTTCCCACTTAAAATAATGAGCAGGGTCTTTATATAGCTTATATAATGTGGGAGATAGTATGGCATAGAACTGGGTTTATGCTCAGTAAACCAGGTACTCTGCCTCCTACTAGCTGTGTGACTTTGGGCTACTTTTGTTAAGCTTTCTGGTTCTCAGCTTCTTATCCATGAAGAGGAGTCTTAAGGAACTGCCTTTCAGGATATAGGAATGGTGTCTACAAAGTGCTTAGTACAGTGTCAGTTATAAATAGTAGGAATTAAGTAAATGATGGTAGTTGTAGAAGAGAAAATATAATTATTATCATCCATCATCAGTATTGATATATGTAGTCCTAGTCAAGTTTACCTGGGCATTTGGTTGCAAGCGTGAGCTTTTGTCCATCTTTTCTTTTATATTTGAATATCCCTTGGTCTTGATTTTAGAATACCAGAATTAAATCTGTCTTTCTTTGGGCATTAAAAATCTAGCAGAGCTTCCCCCTCTCTCAGCAGTATTCAAGTTCGATTTCCTGTATCAGTCATTTTCTTTTTATTCTCCTAGCCTGGTGTATCAGTTTCCCTAGTGAATCCTCAGCCATTCAGTGGTCACTTCTCAACCAAAATTGAAATCAGGCAAGGAGATAACCGTGATTCTATAATCAGACGTTTAATGAAAGTGGACCGAGGAATCAAAGGTAAGTGGTTTCCCTGAAATGCACTTTTGGCAGTAGCTTGTGGATTTGATGAGTTCTAAGCAGAGGGGAGAAAGAAAAGTAACTGGCTTGCTCAGGGACAGCTGTGTACTATTGTGGAAAGAGTGTTGGACCCAGAATCAGGAAACCTATGTTCTCTTTTGGGACTTTGTGACTAGGGAGCTTGGTATGTCACTTAAGCTCTAAATGGATCTCTCTTTTAATAAAATAAGGACAATGGATTAGATATTTTTCTAGGATTCCATCTAGCTTTAAAATTGTAACAAGCAGTTTCTATCTCTCAGAGGTATTTAGAATTAAGGAACACATTCCCTTAATTTTCCAAACTAACCTGCTTAACTGAGTCTGTTCCTAGGGAAAGAGGAGAAACTGAGTAAAAGTTACTGAGTGTCTGCCGTGTATTTGCCATTTAATCCTTTTACAACCCTGTAACATTAGCAATATTATTATTCCCCTCTTGCAGATGATGAAATGGAGGTAAGAAAGGCTAAGTAACTTGCAGAGTTCATTCAGCTAGTAAATCCTGGAGATGGAATTCAAACTCAGGTCTATTTGACTCCAAAGCTCATAGTCTTCCTTTTAGACAATGTACCTCCAGGTAAAATATGTAAATAAATCTTAATTTCTTAGCAAGATTGTCCAGATCTTCTGTGATTAGATTTGATATAATAATTTAGAGCTTCTCTTTTTATCACTCAGCTGGTCTTAGGCTGAGAAGACTGTGAAAGGAGCTGGTGCATCTTTATTATTTTTCTTCCAAATTATGAAGACAAATTAACGTGTGTTTCTCTATTTTGCATGATCTCTCTCTTCTCTTCTTGATGACAATCAAGAGTTGATTGGGCTACATACCATCAGCGTAAAAAATTTCTGAAAAGATTTACAAATCCCATACAGTGACCTAAATTATGGAACTGTATTCAGGGTAACAATATTCCATTAACATGGAACACATAAAATAGCCCTTTGGAATTCATTCTGCCATGTATTTTTGTTCCCTTGAGGTCATTTGTACACCTTCCGTTGTTATTTCTTGAGAGACCACCATGTGTAGTGTGTGTGGAGATAAGTGTGTATGCAGAGACTCGTGTGTGGGGACTCGGGGCTCTGAGAGTCCACAAAGTGCTGTTCATCTGGAGGCTGCATCTAGTGAGGGGGTAGGGGACTAACCATTGCTGTACGTAATCGTCACCTACGGAGAAACTGCCGACCACAGTAAGAGAGGTGTAGGTAAAATTTACAGCACAGAAAGAGGTGAGATTATTTCAGCTGATGATCAGGGATGAATTTATGGAGAAAACATTGTTTGGATGGGGCCTTGAAAATGATCACCTGTGAGGGTGAGGGGAAGGTGTGTACTTACTTGCAGGAGGGAAACACTACTGCTTGTTTCACTGTGTACCAGTGGTATATTAGGGCTAGGGATTCTTTTGTTTGTGGACAGTTAAAAAATTGTGGTAAAATATACATCAAATTGACCATCTTAGTCATTTTTTATGTGTACAGTTCAGTGGCATTCAGCACATTTTCATTGGTGTGCAACCATCACACTGTCCATCTATAGAACTTTTTTATCATCCCAAAGGGAAACTCTGTCCCCATTTAATAGTAACTCCTCATTCTGCCTCCCTTCAGTCCCTGGTAACTACTCTTCTGCTCTATGTATTTGACTGTTCTAGGTATCTGTATAAGTGGGATCATACAGTATTGTCCTTTTGTGTCTGTCTTGTTTCACTTAGCAAAATGTCTTCAAGGTTCATCCATGTTGAAGACATTTATTATGTTTCCTCAGTAAACCAGGTACTATAGAATGATAGTGCCGTCCGTATAGGCCATAAAAAGCAGAACTTGAAAGTTTCGATATGTAAACATACAAGGCAGCCATTTTGTGGCCCTCCTTTTGGCTGTTTCATATTACATGTATTTAGGGGGGAGGGTATAGCTCAAGTGGTAGAGTGCATGCTTAGCATGCATGAGATCCTGGGTTCAATTCCCAGTAAGTACCTCTTCTAAAAATAAATAAGTAAACCTAATTACCCCCCTGAAATAAATAAAATTATTATATTACATGTATTTAGTCAAGAGAAAATTTTGTAATAGCATATACTCTTTGCCTTGAAGAACAATATAATGGCTCTAAAGAAAATAGATATTTGTGTGGAACTACTGGATAGGATTATTATGAGGTTGTAGCATGTAAGAGGCTGTCTTCTTGTATTGGAAATTGGATTATATAATATTAAACCTGACTCCCTTTTAAATATACTCAGATACAACACTGTCTAGGTTCTTCCGAATTGTACTAAATGTATTTTTTATGTCTCGTCTTTTCTCACTGAGTCTCTGGCATAATTCTTACATCCTATGTCATTCTAGCTGTGAATAATATTATTATAAAGTGCTTTAAGTTTGGTGTTAGTAGCTACTGTGAATTTTGGAAAATAGATAGAAATGTTAGGGGGAGTTTGAAAGTAATATTCCTCCAAGTATCCACAGAAGAGCTCTAACCTCAAGACTTCCAAAAGCCCTCAGGCTGCTTTGATATCTAAGAGGACTGAGTATATTGAGTATATGAGGTGAGAAAGGAGTGAAATTCAGTAACATATTTCTTGGTTGGTCTGCTGTGATAGCCAGCAAGTTGTCCAATTAGTGCTAGTTGTATTGAAGGTGATTATGGTCTAGATCCAGGAGGAACTGGGAAGTAAAATCATTATTTCACTCCACTAAGGCCACTGAACAACTATGTGATGATAATGACTTTAAATCACTCACAACCCATGCCACAGATGAACTAGGAACTTGGAGGTAAAAAGCTCCATTTCACATTATCAGTGCTTAGGGACTTTCAATCACTCTCATCTTTCCTCTAAGTGCCTTAAATCTTGTGTAGTTGCAGACTTAAATTTCAACATTTTCAATGATAAGAGAGGTCTGGGATAAGAAAAGATAGTAAAACCACAAAGAATGATCCAGGAATTTTATTGACAGTAATGAACTACATGGTGAAACATCAAAGCAGATGTGTTTTGTCACTTAGAAGCTTGATTGGGTATTAAGGCTTCTTTGAAATAGTTTGATTCAAAATTGCTTAGGATGATGAGGGAGGTCTGTTTCAGAGAGAGAGAGACAGAGAGACAGAGAGACAGAGGCAGATATGCAGTAAAAAGCCTTCTGCATAAAATCTGCTGGCAGGACTGGTCACTGCTTCCATAAGAAAATAATTTGGTATCACCAATGTGCATGTTGAATTTCAATAGCTATTAAGATGAGTTGTATTCTTCCCCCAAAATAAGACCATGGCTGTCATGAAGACTGTATGTGCTCCTTTCCCATTTTAATTTTCAGGGTTTGTGCTATGTCTGGGGATAGATTGTGTGGCCTCCGCAGAGTTTCTCCAGAGACTCTTAGGCAGTGTTTGCCTTCATGGTAGTTGCAGGTAATTGCTCTGTAAGCCCCAAGATCCCTACTATAAACTTGGAGTCCTTTAGTCTTTGTTTCCCAAGGAAAACAGAATGCCTGAATAACTTGTACTCCTGGCATAGCCGCCAGCTGCGTTAATGTCTCCTTTTATCTTTTTTTAAATCTTACCCCTCTCAAGCTAAGCTTCATACTCTCAAGGCAACATGAGGGAGTGTAGTTCATGGACCACCCAGCAATCTACTTAAGAAAGGGCTGTGAAGTAATTCAGAATTATCTTTTGTTCTGTGTATCAGGTTAAGCATAACAAGCCACACTACACTTAGAATGAGATATGAATCCAGAACCAGCAATTGTAGTCATTTATGGTGTTTTTACACCAAATAAAATAAAACCGTTTGATGTTGAGATGTCTCAGAATTGCTGAAATAAATAAATTTCTTTTGGGCTCAGTTGTTGGCAGGATTGTTGGATCATAAATTTCTTCAAGAGACAAGTGCTTTCTTTGCCAGGAGCCATCTTTTATCAGCTTGCACAAGGGCAGATCAGGAAAATCTCAAGCAGTGGAGGGTTGGAACTAATCCAAAAGCTCAAAATTCTAAAATCTGTGCCCTTTCCCCCTGCTCTCCTCCTTTGCTCCTTGTCTTGTCAGCTTAATACATTTCCATCCTTGGAGCAAAACAAGAAACTGGTAATGCTGTTTGTTAGAGTAGTAATTCTTTCTCCAAAAATGTCTTCCAAAAAAAGCTACAACTCTTGCAGTTTTAAATATTCCAGGAAGCAAGACATGAAAGCAAAATAAGTTTTAGGCTTTTTGATAATCTGAAAAATGGTTAATTGAAGCAAATTAAAATTGATCTGAAAGAGCATATAGGATAATGCTCAAAAATGTACTCAGTCCCTTCCCTTGGTTTATAATTCCAGGAGATATGTTATACAGAATCTCTGCTAGTCTTTGATCTGAGTAAAAGCTGACAGAGGATGAAGATTTGTTAGATTTAGCTTAGCTTTCTGAGAGTGGGTCCTATTTCATCATCTGATGAAAATATTTTTAGATACAAGAACCAATGTGTTTAAAACGTGAATTATCAGACTCAGGCATGGGTTTGACTGTAATTAAATGTTAATCTTTTTTGCTGTAGACCTTTCCAAAGTGAAACTGATGAGATTTGATGATCCACTGTTGGGACCTCGGCGAGTTCCTGTCCTGGGAAAAGAGCACACTGAGAAGACCCCCATTTCTGAGCATGCTGTTTTCCACGTGGACCTCATGAGCAAAAAAATTCATCTTTCTGAAAATGGGCTACGGGCAGATATCGGTGATACAATGGTCTATCTGGTTCATTAAACTCATACACGCTGGAGCTTTATCCTGGTTTCTGGGGATATTACTACTCCGGCATTACTGTGTGCCTATAGATGGGCTATGAGAACCTTAGGGTGGACCTAAATAGATTTCATTTCCAACCATCAAATTCTGCATGTAATCAATTATACCAAGTTATCTTGGGTTCCTGGACCTAATAAAATTTTTTCTTCCCTTCTTGAGGCCTCAGAAAGGAATAGTTTGTACCATACTTTGCTTTTTTTTTTTTTAAAACAAATTATTGCCATTTTCCAGAAGCTTATAGTATTTTAGATGAACACAAAAGTGTCAATATGCTTTTTGTATGAGGTATACTTCATACTGTTTATGAAGGCTAAGGAGTATCTAACACCTTTTTATATTATATCCATTATGTAGTTAGCTGTTTTTCTTCTTTAAAAAGAAAAGAGTAAATTAGACAGCTAGTTTTGATTTTTAAAGAAGAGAACTCTTACGATTTTAGAAGAACAAATGAGAATATTTTGACTTGACTGTATGATCACTAAGTATTTTGTATAAAGGACAAAAGTTCTTATATTTATAAGAATTTTTTAGGCTTTAATGTATTTAACAACCAATAGTATTTTTTAAAGGGATAATCAGTAGTTATTTATAGCTTATTCAATCTACACTAAATTTAGTTGTTCTAAAAGAGAGGATTTTTTCCCCCCAGAAATCTGCATTTATCACATTTGTCTTGAGTCCAGTTGTGTTTAAAGATCACACAAACAGTATTTCATACTTATTCTTTTATTCTTTCTAGAATGTCTTTTGGTATTATCTGTACTATTTGTTTTCATATGAGGAAAAGATACTAGGTATTGATTGACAAGACAAAAAACATTTCCATTTCTTTTAGGGTTTAATATGAGGACAGACCAATTCTGATAGTCCTAAGGAACCTGAATTCTAAATTTCAGTTCATGTAAAAAGATTTTACTGAGCTTGTTTTTTTTTTTGCTTTATACAATTTGCGACTGCTGGGCCTAGTTGAACTCTTTATCATAGATTCATTAAAGCAAATCATAGAACGTTAGTACTGAAAGATCCCTTAGAGATCATCAAGTACAAATCACTCTTTATCTGCTAGGAGCAGGCATTGTATCAGAGTGGGTAAGATTCCAGGCTCTGAAGTCAGACTAGCTTAGTTAGATTTCCATTTCTTCTATTTGCTACTTGGGTGGTTTTGGCCCGTTACTCAGCCTGCTTCTTTATCTATAAGATGGAACTAATAATGTACCTATTTCCCTAGGCTTATTTTGACATGTTGAGATGAAACAATCTAGGAAAATCTTACTTACAGTATAGTGCCTGGCAAGTGGGAAACCCTCACTAAATGTTCCTGATGGTGATGATAATAACGATGAACCTTCAGTAAATGTTGCTGAAGACTCCTCCCCTCGCTAATACACCAGGGTAGGTTGGCTTAAGATTGCTCTAGGCCAGAATCATGTCATATTTGTTTGGTTCCTTTGGGGCAACAGTTTCATTGTTTGCCCTCCTTTAGATTCCTTTTCTGCTCCCTCAATCTGCATAGCCTTAGTTATTCTCTAAATCAAAGGAATCCTTCCTGTTACCTGAACAAAGCCTACTATGTTTAACTTAGGCAAATTAAATGAAATGTGTTTGGCAAAAAAGAAGAAAAAAGGAGACAGGAAAATAATTTTAATATTGTGAGTATCTAATTTTATTAAATGATGAGCCTATGAACCTCTGCTTTCTTGGATTAAGTGTAAGTCGGAATTCATGGATTCTCTGTTCCCTCAGTCTCAGTTCCTGTGCGTCTCTCTTAGAATAAATGTCTTGCTGGGCTGAATACATTTTTTGTGTTTAAAGATACAGATTTCGTATAAGGATGCCTCTGAGCATAAGCCCATTATCTCATCTGGTGCACAACTGGAAAAACAGCAGTTAGTTAAAATGCTGAAGGAAAAACAAGCTGTCTTGGGCTTGTTGTATTATAGGAGGTTGGTACCTTCCTAAAGAATCTCAACTCTTTTTAAGTTGTAAAATATACATACATAAACAAAGTTGTAAAATACATACACATAGACAAAAAGTGAAAAACAATAAGAAATACATAACATACACAACAAAATATATGAAATACACACAAACAATGAACAACAAAACAGCATTTATCAACAAAGCAAAAACCTGTGTGATCACCACCCCGTCAAGAAATAGCACCATCCCAGCACCTCAGAAGCCTGCCTTATGTCTCCTCCTATAAAGACAAGCGTATGGCCAAGTGTATGAACATTCTTCATACATGTTCCATGTGAGCTTGAAAAGAATGTTTATTTTGGAGGTGTAGAGTTCTATATACGTGCGCTGGGTCATAGTCGAAGATTGAATTGTTCAAATCTGTATCCTATTGTTTTGTTTTCTTGGTGTACTCTTTGTTTTAGAGAGGTGTACTAAAATCTCTCATGACCTTGCATTTACCTGTTTCTCCTCCTAGATCAGGATTTGTTTTATATATTTTGATGCTATGTTACTAGATATATATAAATTTAGATTCTGGTATCTTTCTTGTAAATTGAACTGTTCTAATTAATTAGCAAGTGTTCCTTTATTTTTAGAAATTTTTTTTGCCTAAAGGCTACTTTGTCTAACATTAGTATAATAACATTAGTTTTCTTTTGGTTAGTGTTCATAGAGACTGTCATTTTCTATCCTTTTACTTTTTAAAAAAATATTTTATTTTTTATTTTATTTTATTTATTATTGTATTATTTAATTATTTTATTTTGGCAGAGGGGGAGGTAATTAGGTTAATTTATTTTTGGAGGAGGTACTGGGGATCGAACCCAGGACTTTGTGCATGCTAAGCATGCACTCTACCACTTGAGCTATACCCTGCCCCCTGTCCTTTTACTTTTAACCTTCTATAGTTTTATTTTATTTTCACACTTTATTTTGACGAATTTTAAACCTACAGAAAAGTTAAAATAATGGGCCAGTAAAAATCCATAAACCTGTCGCCGAGATTTACCAATTGGTAACATTTTGCCCCATTTGCTTTTTCTCTCTTTTAATATTTTTAAAAATGAGCTTTTAATTTTGGTATAGTTTTAGCTTTATAGAAAAGTTACATCAATTGTATGGAGAGTTCCTGTACACCCTTCACTCAGTTTCTCCTAATGTTAACATTTTATATATACCTTGGTTCAGTTGTCAAAACTAAGTAATTAATACTGATATGCTACTATTAACTAAAGGCTTCATTAGGATTTCACCAGTTTTTGCTGTTACAGGACCCTATCCAGGATACCACCTTCCATTTAGAATATACTTTAAAAATTTTTTGAACCATTTGACAGTAGGTTGCAGATACCATGACAATTCCCCTTTAAATAGTTTAGCATGTAACCCTTAAGAACTAGGACATTCTCCTGTATAATCACAATATACGTATATCTTCCCCAAGAAATTTAATATTGGGCATGTACTTTATAAGCATGTTATAGTTTAGCAATAATATTAGGTAATAAACTTTCCTAATACAAATGAGGTAATAATATTTCCCCAATATCTCATCATAATGTTTTATTTCAGGATCTATTCAGAGACTAAGCATTACATTTTGTGGTCATGTCTTCTTGATCTCCTTCACACTAGCAAGTTTCTCTTTCTTTTTCAGTCTTTGATGACAGTTACATTTTTGATGACTCCATGTCAGTTGTTAGTAGTTTGCCTCACAATCCAGATTTGTGTATTTTCTCATGGTTTGATTCAGATTTAAAAGTCTTTGCAAGACTGCTACATGGGTGATATTTCCCACTGCATCACGTTTTCATGATGGTCAGATTCCTATATTGTCAGTGTGTTCCCATTACTGATGATACTGAGTTTGATGACTTGGTTAAAGTAGTATCTTCAGATTTCTCCATTGAAAAGTAATCTTTTCCCTTTTGTAATTAATAAGTAGCTGTAAGGTGATATGTTAAAACTTATGTAAATATACTTTTTGCCAGCAAACTTCCGGGAAATGGTAGCATTCGTGGATCATCTTTCTGCCAGTTACTATGCTGGTAGTTGTAATAAGGTGAGTTCTTAATGTTACCATTTCTTCTACGTTTATTAGGTATCATTCTTCTGTAAAGAAGAGGTTCCCCCTTTGCTTCCAATTTTTGTGTTTCATCATTCTTTTCAAACCACCGTGGACCAATGGATTCTAGTTTTTATATATGTTATGATCTGTTAACCATCATTATGCTTTGACTGCTCAAATATTCCTGAGTTATCCAGTGAGGCTGGATCCATTCAAGTCAGTCCTTTTGACATCTCCCCGTCAGTCTTGAAACATTCCTTTGCTTACTGGCACAACAAGCCCAGCTCACCTTATATTTTCCTGTCTCAGAACAGCAATCAGTTTTTTTCTCCAAGGAGCTCTGCTCTGTTTTAATGGAGAATGGTATTAAGAAACCAAGATCTGGGTGTTTTGTGTACTCATCACTACTAAGTTGTAATTTTTTTTCTTTAGACCTTTCCAATGGGCAGAGCTAAGATATATATATTTATATATATATATATATATATATATATATATATATATATAATATCTTAATTATATATGATATATATTCTATATATTTTTTAAATTATAATTTTATCTAATACCAAACTTCTTTCTTGCCTTCTCCCTGTAAATATTTGTATAGTTCTTCTCACACAGTGAGAACTCTGGTTCCCAAAAACCTCAGTGTATTTACTCGTTTGGTCTGTTAATAATTTCAGAATTGCCGATCTGAGCAAGTGTTGGCAAGACTGCTACATGGGTGATATTTCCTACTGCATCATGTTTTAATGATTGTCGGATTCATACATTGTTCATATATAATCGGCTACTATTGGTGTCAGATTTACTAAGTAGAGTTCTAAAACACATATGTATATATTATGAGAAAAAAAAATATGTTTGCAGTTCTATGTCCTGAAAACGTATCTCACTAAGGAATATAGTCAGATCACTGTGTTCAAATGTTACTTGGACGAATTTCTTTTCATTTGTGGCTTTAATATAAAGTCATTTGTTTCTCTTTTTATTCAGTTTTAAGGTTTGCTTTTTTCCCTTTTTATTTATTTTTTGAATAAGTAAAATACGTGGTTCAAAAGTCAAAACTATATCCATTCAGAGAATTTTTACTCTCTTGCACCACATTCCCCCGCTCTGTAGCTAATTGTTTTCATTGGTTTCTAGATTATCTTTCCTGTTTCTTTTTCCAAAAATAAGCAAATATTAAATGTACTTTAATCTCTTTTCTCATGTAAAAAGTAGAGGTTATATATAATTGTTTTATACCCTGCTTTTTAAAGTTAACTATTTTTTGATAAATATATATAAGTATATATTTATATTTTTTATTTTAGTTCCCAGAGATCTGTTTCTTTCTTCCTCCTCCTCCTTTTTTTTCTCTCCTCCCCTCCTGTCTCTCTTCTCTCTGTTACACTGTACCATAATTCATTCAACTACTCTCCAGGGGATGGGCATTTAGGTTGTTTCTAAGTTTTTGATATTTTATAGAATCTGTATAGAATTATATAGTGAGTAACTTTGTGGATATGTGGTTTTATATCTGGAAGTTTATCTTAAATTTCTAGAAGTGGACTTGTAGGTCCAAGAGAAAATGCACATGTAGTTTTGTTAGCTGATAACCTAGGCAAAAAAGCATATTAGACAGAGGGTACAGCAGGTGTAAAAGCTCTGAGGAGAGGCATGTGGCTGGTGCGCTGAAGGACTAGCAAAGAGGCCACATGAAGACACAGGTCTAGATGGCAAGTGACCTGTCCAAGACCCTATACACTAGTGATGGAGCTGAGTTAGAGCCCTGGCCTCCATATCTCCAGTCCATCACAACACACTTATTAAACAAGGAATGCATGCATGGGAAATAGGAATGTATTTGGCTAAGGCCAATGTTGTCAGGGCTATTTGGTTAGAGGAGGGAGAATTTTCTATGGACCAGAGTCAGATAGACTTCACAGATGAGGTGGGACATGAAGGATGGTGAGGACTGGAATAGCAGCTTGGAGAGCAGGGCCACATTCCTAGCTTTCAGAACTAGATGTGGATAAGGGCCTGGAGGTGAAAACAAACACATGGCTTGTTTGGGAGATGATGCCAGGAATGGAATGTTTATCTTGGAAGAATAAGAGAGAAGTTGGAAGCAGGTAAGTAAATTGGGCCGCCTTATAAAGGTTCTTGGATCCCAGGAAGAAATTTGAAGTTGATTTAATTACTTGCAGAGTCACTGCAGATTCTTGAGGTGGGAATGAGATGATGTGTTACTTCATGTCTTTTGTAGTTTGTGGTAGTTATGTCTGTTTTTATCTTGAAAAATTCATTCATTTAGTCATGCTAATGATTGTTTACTAGATAGCTGTGTACCTGGCTCTGGTAGGTTCTCAGTGTTTGATGATACATTGTTAAATTATTTTCTCTCAATATTTTTGGACATAATTTCACATCTGTATTAGAGAATACTCAGATGCCGCCCAAAACTTACAGCATCAATTAAGTCTTCTGATTGCCCACTGCCATCCTAAGAGCTTAATTGGTTATAAGGTAGGGGAAAAAAAACACCTCACACATGAAAAACAAAAAACAGGATAGAACATGATCCTTGCTCGTAAGAGTTTAAGGAATAAGACAAAGAAATCTTGTGTTTTCACTTTGGAAGAGTAGGTGGTAATTTGTTCTATCCCTTGTTTTCCTTAGATTGGAGTTAGGCCTGGAGCTGTGCTGCCCAGTAATTTAGCCTCTCACCACGTTTGTCTGTAGAGACCTTGAAGCGTGGCTAGTGAATTGAGGTGTGCTACAAAAGTGTAGAATACACTTCAGATTTCAGAGACTTACTGTAACAGAGAGCGTAAAATACCTCAATAATTTTATTTTATATTGATTACATGCTGAAATGGTATTATAGAGATATATATTTTAAAGTCACTTTGAGAGTTTTTGTTTTAAAGATACTTTTTTTTCTAAAAGAACACTTTTAGAACTTTCTATTGTAAAAATACATTTTGAATATTTCTAGAACTCTCCAGAGTTAAGATCCATTATTTCTTTTGTAATTAGAAATCTGTAGAGTGATGTTTTGGCACCTTGGGTGTGTCCTGTTCCCAATTTTTTACCTGATCCTTTACTGAATAAATTATGCTGGGGGCTGTGCAAACTGGTGATATTCTAATGGCAAAATTGTTGACTGAACCAAACCTGGGTTTGCTTGCCTACCGTGTAGCAAAGTCAATCTACTGACACTGGATTGTGATGAAGGAAAGTACAGCATTCATTTGCAGGGCTCCAAGCAAGGAGAATGGGCAGATCATGCTCAAAAGACTCAAACTCCCTGATTGCTTTCAGGGAAGGGATTTTAAAGGCAACATCTGAGGTAAGAGTTGCAGCTCATGAACTTTCTTCTGATTGGCTGTTGGTGAGGTAACAGGGTAATGTTTCAGAGCCTTAATCATAAACTTTCTGGTTCCAACCAGTCTGGGGTCTACATGGTTGTGACTACATGGGTTCACCTGGTTGGGGGGACGGTCTTAGTTTCTACAAAATAATTCAAAGATACACATCAGATTGTTATTTATATCGTTTGAAGAGGAGCTAGGATCCTGTTTTATTACTGAGCTATTTGCTTCTCCTTTGTTTTCGTACTCCCTCACTTCCCTAACTAGTAACTGCCTGAGTCTGCTCTTTGGAACTCAGGAAAGGCCTAAGAGACTAAAGTCTTTTTCTATAAGCAAGAAACGAGGGACATGGAGGGGGCTTCCATATCTGGGGAGGCCCTGCAGGGTCCTGCTCAGTTTCATTTCTCCCCTTTTCTTTGATACTCCTCAATTTTGAGGAGAACAGGGGTGGGACAAGAAAGGGAATAAAGTTTGGGACAGAGAGGTTAATCATAAACTTGGGAACTTTGTCTTAGGGGACTTGTTTTCAATTATTTCTTTTCCGCAAATAGTTGTCATTCCTCTTTCTTTCTCTTTTCATTTATTTTCTTCTTAAGTGAAAGAGCTGTGTGGCATTTGGCTTGGTTGCTTCATACAATAAATGTTTGATTCGAAAAGATGAGACAAATGACATTTTATAATATGAAATTGGCTTACATGTGCAATGGTTGCTCATTTGTCATGGGAATTTTATTGTAAATCTTTTTTTGCAAAGCTAGTCATCACTTCTTAATTTAAGATATTCTTATAAACTTGAATTTCCTGTGTAGCACATTTAGTCCACAAATTACTGAGTGCTTACTGTGTTCCAAGCACCGTGTTAAGCACTTGGAATAGAGTGGTAAGCAGAAGAAACATGGCTGTCCTTCACGCAGGAGGCATCCTTACGGTTAAGAAGACAATGAGAGTTGCCCAGAACCTAGTGAGAGAGGGCAATTATGAAGCTATATCTGAAGGATCTTGATTTGGGAGGTATTATATAGGCTTTTGCTAATAGCCCTGTTCAAGTAAATGCTTTGAAGTGCAGAACCCTAAACAATCATTCTCCATGGGTCTGATGAGAATATATAGTATAGTTGGCAGTTTTCCTCCTGTTGTCTTTCTGATGTAGCACTGAATTATGATTGCAGACCCGTCCTCTCAAACGTGTGATTTTCTCTTAATTTTTTTCCTGTAGGGACATTTCCCCAGTGTCTCTGTTGTCCACACCCCCCTGAGGCATGCTCTGGAGGCTACTTCAGAGGCTCCTAAGACCCTGAAGATAGGGAGCAGTAGGGAGGCGGTAACCAGCCAGGCCCTGCTTTGTTCACTGGGTTTATCTGGGCTGTAGGAAAGCAGCAGCACCGCTTTCCTGCCGTGATCAGTGAGGTCCATGGAAGAGTAGGTGATTTCTAAAAGTTCTAAGAAGCCTTAGAGGTTTGACAACCTAGCATAGCTCAGACTTTTAGGAAGCTGTCTTTCATTAGGTGGTTTCAAGCACGATATTGGCTGAAAGACCTTATTTTCTGTCTCTGCTTTCAGGTTATTTGTGGGACTCATGTGATCTTGCTGAATTGGACTAGCGGCCCCGGGGATGAGGAGAGGCCCCTACTGCTCCTCAGCTACCTGGCAAGGTAGAATCTGTAGCCTTTTGAGTCTCCTAAGGAGAAGTCAGGTGACACTTAGCTAGGTAAATGTTTGCTAGAGTTCGCTCTTAAAGCAAAAGGATTTTTCCACCAAAGATAAGTTTTCTTTTTATTCAATTTACACTATATATTCAGCAATATCTCCCTTCAAATTAGTAAGAGGGACAGGCCCACAGTTAGGTGTATAAGGTGTCTGTCAGTTACACTGTGACCTCAGGTTCCGGAATATCAAGGCAACATTCTTTAGATGTTTCACTTTGGACTGAACCTAAGTTTAGAAGCAGTCAACTTGTTGTCAAAGGGAAAAGGATATCCCATGTGACCAGAAAACACCTGTTACTATGAGTTGGTCTGGGAATTACTTCTCTAAGTTTCCTGAGGATGTTTCCTTTCTCAACGTACACTCACCTCTGTTGCTTTCGCTCATACCATCTGAAGATGAACAACATTTTATCTCCAACTTGAGGTAGGGAGTAGGGTGATTCCCCCCCACCCCTCACCAGCTTTTGCTCTTTGGTTGGAATATCAAATCAATGTCTTCTTATGAGGAGCCAGGAAAAAGAAAACTGGGCTCGGAAAGAAAGTAGCTGCTATCATTTCCCATGTGCACTTGAAAAGGGGGCAACTGATTAGTTCCTTCTGGCCTCACTTGGCTGGTGGAAAGAGAAGAGCTGCCTTGGGTGGAAGGGTGTCTCTTTATTTTAACTTAAAATGTTGAGCCCTGACCAAGTGAAACTTTATTGCTGGTGGCTGCCAGTAATTTCCACCCTTTTGAAATCAAAGCTCAAGGGTTTTGGCTTCAGTTAAGAGTTTGAAATAACTAAGGAGGCCTCAGTGGAAGGCAGAGCAAACTCCTAGTACTTCAAGTTTCATTAAGGAAGAGAGCAACATGAAACACCCCAGCCGAAGCACCAGGTGTGTGGGGACACGCGGTGGGAAATGTGCTGAGCTACCGAAAGAGGGGGAAGGCAGAGTGAGGCTGAGAAGGAGGAGGACTGTATCTCATCCCTCTCCTGACACTGTCGCTCCGTGCGAGGCAGTAACTGGAATGACTGGAGATAGCCTCCTGCCTCCCACCAGTGGAAGCCTCTCTGCTTCTGTCTTTTATCGTGACCAACCCCCTTGGTTTGGCTGGGACTGTCCTAATTTTAGCACTGAAAAGTTTTCCATCCTGGGAAAACCCTTAGTCCAGGGCAAATTGGGATGATTGGTCACCCAAATTGAATTTTAAGATATTTGGGTAGCACATATGACAAGTGAGAAACTGTCCCAGGTCTTCTTGTTCCATTCTTTGTTTCTTAGAGAAGTGTGCAGAGTGCCCTAGGCTATGTGCAAGGCCCTTAAGCTAAATAAAACGGTACTTGCCATCAAATGCATGCCTACTATACGCCACGTACATGATCTTGTTGAATCCTCAGGGCAACTGTGGAGGTAGGATATTTTAAATCCAATTTTATGGGAGAGGAGACCAGAGTTCAGGGCTGGGACAAGTTGTGTTTTCCAAGGTCAAACAACTAGAAAGCAGCTGAGGCACATTTGAACTTAAGTGTACCTGAATCTAAGCTCTGATCTCTTTCCAATAAATGAAGAACTTGCTGAATTTGATAGCAAATGGATAGCTGCTCTGGCTTAGATGCTGTGACCATCAGCTTCACCCACTACTTCCAAACTCATTCCTATTACTGGTAAGAAAAGATTCTGCCTCTCTGGGGTTACATACAGAGCTAAAAGCTATGCAGGAAGCTGCAATAGCTACTTTATTTTGATACCTGTAGCAGCCCCTGAATAATTATTCAGTTCTTAAAGGAACTACTAAGTGCCCAGCACATAGCAGGTGCTGAGTG